TGTAATTTCTGGGGGGATCCCCTCGTGGCTCCCTGAAGCTACTATACTAATATAGTGCCAGATTACACGGTGCCATCAGTCGCGGAGTTCTTATTGGCCTACCGGGGACCATGAGGTAGAACCTGGCCCCCCTTCAGATAGGCACAGGGAGCAATGGCACTATGAAAAATTTGATGTAAATTGAGTCATGTCTGCCACTACCAAGGAAAGGCGCCCAGAAAGTAAGCGAAACAGAACGCACCACTGCTTTGTTAGAAATCAGAATTCTCGAAACAGCTAAAAGAACTCTTCCTCCCCCCCCCCCCACATTATTATACAAACAATAGAAAATTTGTGAAACTAGTGTGAGCTAGTTTGTCCTATCTCCCCGCCCCCCCTCCTTGTTTTGGGGGAGGAGGGAGGCAGACCGGGTCAGCTGGCTGCTTCGCCACTAGTTCTTATGCTGAGGCGTCCTGTGCCTAGTCGCTCTCTCAGTTCGCTCTGGCTCCAGTCTCCTGTCTTCAGCAATGTGGTATTTTGCCTTTGCAGCTTTTCCTGTGCATGATTGTGCAGGATCTTCCCTGGAGTGTTTGGAGTCCACTCCCTTATGGGGTCTCCTCGCTTGTGGTGACCCTCGCCCTTCAGGTTGTCTTGGGACTGTTTCTTTCCTCAGGTCAGGATTTTTGGTTGGTGGGGTGTACTGTTGTTTGTGTGACCTTGCTGGTACACCAAGGTATTCCTTCCAGCTTATATACTGCACCTGATTTCCTCATTATCCAAGAACTGCACCAGACCGTGGTCTAGTGCAGTCCTTGTTTTCACTTTTTAGTCTTTTCAGGGGCTTTTCATTCTTTTGTACCGCATTCCATTTTAGGGATTAATCAGCTCTTGACCTTATTAGGTTTTACCTAGTGTCAAAGTGCAGGTATTCTCCCTTTTTGGTTCTCTTGCCCTTTCTGCTGGAGTAGTGCATCCAGGGTGCCTATACAATTATATAGGGTATACCAGCTTTGCGTTCCCAGTGCCAGGTAATACCTGCAGGGAACATTTACCCCTGCAGACACTGGAAAAGCCCTGCAAGTTCGGTGGTACTATGGTTATTTGTACAGAGCCTGCTCTCGCTTCACGTGAAGGTGGTGGTACCTGTTGGGTTGGCGACACCTTTGAACCCGAGACATGTGGGAGTGTTCCCCGCACATTGCTCTCCTGACCCACCCTCCTCCTGAGGATGATCAAGGATATCTGGCAGCAACCACTTTGCATTTACAATTTTGTGTTGCAGCAGTCCCAGGTGTGAGCCCGGTTGGATGCTCCCTATTTGTCCTGCTTAGTGTTTAGAGACTTGGATTTGGAGGTGTTGGTTAACTCATCCGTGTTTCTGCCCACACCTCCCCCTCCCTCTTCCTTCCCGGATGGGTGTGGTTTGTCCTTCTTACACCATGCTTCAAGTCTCGAAGTGTCTGAGGGGTTTCAGGGGCAGGGTTTAGCTCAGGATGTGGCTTGGGTAGATCTGGGGTTTGTCCCTTCCTTCTTGGCCTCAGAGGTAGTTGAGCCTTCTGCTCCTGCTGAGGCTTCTGGGTCTTTCCAGCTGCCCCCAACCCTCTTCTGAGGCCTATTCCTTGGACTCCGCTTTTCTATCCCGGACTGTGAGTGCGTGTGCTGCCTCTGCTCCATGGTCCTTTTCTGCGGTTCCCGGAGCTTCGGAGTTCTAGTTGGGTCCTTGGTTCCCGTTTGACCCTTTGTGGACTCTGGTGCCTTCGACGAGAGGTCTTTTGTTGCAGGGGGTGGGGTTTTTCCTATGCCCCTTTCCTGTATGAGTTAATTTTGGGTGTGGAGTCCCCACTTCCCCCATGGTTCACTTCCGAGTACCTTCATTTCCGTTTCTTTGTTCTTTGAAGAAATAAAACGAAGAACGAAAGTTCTTCGGCTTCATGCTTCCGTAGGTTTCCTACCTTTGGTCTTCCCCTGGTGGCAGCTTGGGATGCCCTTTGTGCATACCTGCTATGTGATCCAAATTATACGACAGTGATAGACCCAGCCTCTTTTGAGTTTGGTTTTGGTGTCGCAGTCATCCTGGCTGGCAGACTCCTTTGTTTACCTTTGGCGCATGGCACAGTTTCTGTCGTTCCCGCATGCTTGAGTGGCGGGAGGTGTCTCCTATGTTCCAGTTATTTCTGGGAGGCTTTTGGAGCTGCTCAATGCATGCCATTTTACTCCTGCTCTCTCACATGAAGTAGGCCTCGTACAACTGCATGCTCAGCTCCCTCAGTTGTCAGCTACATTAGTTGTGGACGACTTTAGCGCCTGCTCGCACTTGGGTTCTGCAATGCACATCTTGAGCCTCCTGGAGCTTGCATTGTAATTGGCTCTCAGAGGATGTTTAGGTACTCGGAGAGGTTCCTCTTATGGGGGTTTTGGTCCCCTGCTGCTTGTGTGGAGGGGGGGGGGGAAGGTTGAGTGATCTAGCTCACAGTAGTTTCATATATTTGCAGTTGTTTGTTTACATTGTTGGGAGAGTTCTGTTGGTAATTTTGTGGCTGTGGGTTTGTTTCTAACCAAGCAGTAGTCTCTTTTGTTTTACCAACTTTCTGGGTGTCTTCCCTTGGTGGTAGCAGACAGGAATAATTTAACATAAAAGGTTTTCATAGTGCCACCAGTCTCTTCACCTCTCTGAGGGGGGCCAGGTTCTGGCTTATGGTCTCCGGTAAATCAATAGGAACTCTGCAACTGATGGCACCTTGTAGTATGGCACTGTAATAGCTTCAGGGAGCTACTGGGGCTCGGCCAAAAATTGGAGTTTTATTATGTTCAACGCTGTTTGTTTATGCACCACAACAAACCACCAAGCAATTTTGGTGGGTGTCATAATCTTGTAATCCAAGTACAGCATTGCACCACACACTAGTCAGTTGCCATTGAACTCTGGCACAGCAAAATATGTCACAATATACAACACACATTGCTAACTCTAGCCAAAACACTGCTGCTGTTATTAGAATCCTGGTCACTTATTCCTGAATATGAATATTTTCTGCAAGTTTAATTTCTAAAGGAACATGAGGCCCCATTTCATGATGCATAGACCTATTAAACTGTGGCTGTGTGGTGTAGATGTCTGCCTCATGCTTTGCACATCGTAACCAGCATTGGGTTCACTGGTATCTGAACCTTGTACATAGTTTTCATCAGTCAGAATATTCTATGACACTATCATCGGTACATAATCATATTTACTTATTATTTAATCTTTATTAAGTGATGCTGTGAGCATGAGCTGCATGACAGTGCTGTGGGTGCTGCTGCATGTGCTACTCCTGGTATTTTTCAGTACTGAAGCCCCTCACACCCAAGAGTGGTGCCCACTATTTTTTCTAAGATGGCATCTATTTACTGGAGGCCTGTGTATCCGAGGGGGTTTTAAATATTGTGTAATACAGTACTTTAAAACATCCCTAATTGTGTCACACAACTTACGGGTACCAGTATTTGCAGAGAACATCCCCTGATTGTATCTCGTAGTGGAAGGGCTAAGTAGTTAGCCAAGGTGCAGCTTTGCAGTTTTTGTGTTAACTGGTTGTGTATGGAATGGCATTTCTGTTTACATTCTGGCTGAATTGAATATTCTCCAGTATCACCCCAGCACCAATAGGAGCCAGTAGAGACAGTTTGAAAGGTTTCCTGTCAGACTAATGTGGAATGTCAACCTGTCCAGACTGCAGCAGATCCTGGCTAGAGGCGCGTCAGGTCTTGACTTACATAGCAACCAAATGTACTGGCAGAAAATTGTTTATCATATGTAGTATACTCAAACGTTTGATTTTTAATAATTTCACTTAGTTAAATGGAATTAACATTTGACTTACTCTAGACCATCAGTATCTTGTCTTTATTTGCAAACTACCGTATATGCCGGCGTAAAAGACGCACCCTTGTATAGGACACACCTCTATTTTACAAGGATATTTTGTGGAAAAAAAACTATTTTAGTATGTTTCATCATACATTTATAGGAAGATGTTTTAAGGAGGATTTTGTACCCTAACTCTTACCTCCTCTAAGATCAGCTGTATAGTTGTTTATATTTTGGGCAAGAGAATTGCCATACAGGATGTGAAACTTGTATTTCTGGCTGTGATGTTTTGTGTTGCCGCATCAGGTCACCAGGGTGGTGCATCCAGTGGTGGCGCACCATCAGAGCGCTCTGGGTTTGTTGTCATTCACTCATTACAAATGGCTGACAGGTGGATGAAAGTTTAACATTCCTTTCAAATTTCTAGGAGCATTTCTCATTTAGATAATTAATGTCTTGTAAAGTAACACAGTCGTTAAATAATGTATGACATATATCAGGTGTGGGTTATGTATGCTGGGTAAGGTGGTGAGATGATGTGAGCTTCTTTCATAACTGCCAACGTATCGTAAGCAATTTTTCGTAAGTTTGTGAAAACAGAAAAGAAGAAAAACAGACGAGTGAAAACTCGGCTTGTTTTCAATATTTTATTATTAGTAATGCAAATTACTGTAATTGGCTTGTTTTCAACATTTTATTATTAGCATTGATTTTTGTGCCCTGCGAACTTACCCTGTATACTCGTCCGGCTCCCTAGCTTAAGGCTATCGGTCTCGCATCCGTAATACAGCTGCATTATACGCAGGGCAATTTTTTGACACTTAAAAAAAAAGCATCTTATACGCCGGCAAATACAGTATGTCAAATTTCTTTCTCGGTACCCAGTACGAAGTTAGATTTATTGGCAATTTTAGTTGGTTATGAATCAATAAAATTTCTCTATATAGTGGATGACAGAATTGCAGTACAGCACTTATTCACAAGAAGATGAATGAATAATGAGTTGCATCAGTTATAAAACAGATAATTAACATAAATATATAATTTTATTGACAAAAGCATATCCTTATTTCTCAATAAATATTATGTGTGGCTTTTATTATGCCCTTTTTTAAAATATACTTTGTATATCAATTTTAATGTATCTCACATACATTTTTTTTCTTCCCAGAACTTGCTTCTTTGTGCCACACAGTCACTATTCTTGTGCGATTCTTCGGGGGCACAGAAGGCCTCGCCAACCTTAGGAAGTGGCCAGCCTCTCCCAGCCGACCCAAAAATCAATCCGCCTTCTTTTACATTTATCCAGGGTTGGCAGTTCCTTGCCCTGGCAGTCTCATTATTTGTGCCTAAAAATAGCAAGCTTTTGTGGTATCTCAAACTCCATCTGGAGAGAAATGCTGATACAAAGTAAGTGTGTGTGGTGAAAAATGATAGAGGGAAGAATATTTTCCTCTTTACTGTTATAGCAATGAATAAATAATGCACATGTTTACTATTTCCAGTGTTAAAGTACTGTAAAACACTCTTATTAGTTTTGTTCCTAGGCTTCCCTTTTTCACTATTAAAAATGCTCTCTTAACTTTGTATAATTTGTTCTGAAAGATGATGTAAAATGCAGTTTTCTTTAACAGAACTGAGGTAGGAAAGTATGCTGCATATTGCCAACGAGCGCTTGAAAGAACCTTAGAACATGGAGGCAGAGAGGCTAAGCCATCTCGGATGGAAGTCCTTTCTATTTTACTTAAGAATCCGTATCACCACTCTCTACCCCATGCTATTCCCGTCCACTTCATCAATGGAACCTATCAGGTAAGATAGAGAAGTCTACTGTATATTTCTGTCTAGGGAATATTTAATACAATATATTGTATCAAGAAGTCAATATTTTCACTTCTTGAATATACCAAACAAATTTACTTTTGGTTGAATCTTATACATGACTTGAATAATTCTTTGAAGTTTTGCTTAACACTCAACACATCCTCATTACCTTAAATACACGTATGAAGCTGTTTGATAAAATTGTTCTTAGCTATTGAACAGATGACAGGTGATATGCACCAACTCGCATTCTTGCTTCAACATGCTTCCCTCCACAAGCACGTAATCATTTACTCTGTTTTTTTTCTTATTCAGCCTGTGTGTGTATATATTTACCTATCAGTGTCTATGGGGAAGTGAGTTCTAGCACTTTATGCCTTGCCTATTAGCCTTGTACCTACTGCATTTCAACTACTTTCAATTTCTCTTTTGCAGGCGATGAGTCACAATAACATGGCTAAAGTATGTTGACCAGACCACATACTAGAAGGTGAAGGGACGACGACGTTTCGGTGCGTCCTGGACCATTCTCAAGATCGACTTGAGAATGGTCCAGGACGGACTGAAACATCGTCGTCCCTTCACCTTCTAGTGTGTGGTCTGGTCAACAAATTCTCTGTTGAATTGGGCCTTAAAGTTGTGGATGGAGGTTGCTTCTACAACTACCTCTTTTAGAGGATTCCTCTTGATAATACCCCTGCAGGATACGAATACTTTCTTACATCCCTTCTGTTCGTTTTCACTTGAAAGCACAAATGAGCCTTCAGCTTGAGAGAGTCCTGCTTTCTCTCTCTCTCAATCTGAAGAGGCTATTCTTGTCCACCCAATCTATTCCATGTAGTATCTTGCAAGTTGTGATCATATCCCCTGTTCCTTCGATGCTCTTGGGTTTGAGATTTAGTTCTGTGAGCCTATGTTTGTAGCTTAACCCTTGTAGCTCTGGCACCAAACTAATTGCAAACTTTTGTGCTTTTTCCAGTTTTGGCTTTATGCTTTACAAGATGTAGATCATATACAGCAATGCATATTCCAGTATTAATCAAACAAATGTTGAGTAGATTACCTTGAAGGATTTTTTATTCAGGTTTCTAAATGATGTTCTTATATTTGCCTCGATATGATATACTGCCAATGTTATCCTTTTCATGTGTGCCTCCGACATGAATGTTGGGGTTAAATCCACTCCCAGATCCTTCTCTTTCCAAGTCCTGTAGCGGTTTTCTCCTAATGGTGTAGATGCCTTCTAGTCTACTCTTTCCCTTTCCAATCTTCATTGTTTTATTGTTATCGGTTATCCAAATACCTATTACCCAAATATCTATTAAAGTCAAGAACTTGAACTTGAATTTAATGTTCCTCATTCCATATAACCCTTTAACTTGAATCCCTATTTGAGTTAAAAGTTCAAGAAATGTAAAAAACTAAAACGAGTTCATCTGAATCTCTTGGACATTCAGATTACCGGAATCAAAATTACTATACTGAGCGCTTGCAGTACTGATAAAATTGAAATTCTTTGTACCACTTTGAGGGAGCCGGTCGGCCGAGCGGACAGCACACTGGACTTGTGATCCTGTGGTCCCGGGTTCGATCCCGGGCGCCGGCGAGAAACAATGGGCAGAGTTTCTTTCACCCTATGTCCCTGTTACCTAGCAGTAAAATAGGTACCTGGGTGTCAGTCAGCTGTCACGGGCTGCTTCCTGGGGGTGGAGGCCTGGTCGAGGACCGGGCCGCGGGGACACTAAAAGCCCTGAAATCATCTCAAGATAACCTCAAGATAAGTACCAAAATGCTTGAAACCAATTACCTTCTTGAATAGCAATTTTCCTGATCCAAGGCAGACCCTTCCCTAATGGTGTCTCTTCCCTTTCATGAACTATTCATTATTTATACACCTGCCATGTCATAACAAAAAGTTGTAACGCTTTATTGTTCCATTACTTTTGGTGACAATAAACACGGCAAGTAACTAAATATACAGTATATAAATTGTCATCCGCACTTTCATGGAAATAAGGACTTGTGGATGGCAATTTGTATGATGTGGGTGTGGATCACCAATTCCTCTGAGCTTCAGTAGTAGTCAGGGAAAGTCGAAAACTCCAGTTTGGCAGCAGGATGCTGCTTCTGGAAACCTTCCTCTTTAAGACTACTTATAGTCCAGTCGATAGAGCTTTGGCCTCATGCATGTGGGGGTCCACAGTTCGAGACCCATACAGCCCAGGTGAATGGAACTAAATATACAGGGGGCCCTGACAGCTGAGTGGACAGCACTTTGGATTTGTAGTCCTGAGGTTCCAGGTTCAATCCCCAGTGGAGGCAGAAACAAAATAAGCAGTGTTTCCTTCACCCCTGATGCATCTGTTCACCTAGCAGTAAATAGGTACCTGGAAGTCAGATAGCTGCTACGGCCTGCTTCCTGGGGATGTGTAACAAACAGGAGGCCTGGTCGAGGACCAGGCCAAGGGGAAGCTAAGCCCCGAGATTATCTCAAGATACTGTAACCTCAAGATAAGGGTTGATGAAGCTGTGACGAAGAATGGTGTGACAGCGTGGTGACCCTTGTGTTATGCCGTATGTTGATGAATATCAGTGGTGTCAGAGAATTTGCAAGAGCATTTATCACTGAACCACAGGTGGAGTTAGATTGGCTTTCTGTGGTTCTGACTTGAATTCCCCTTCACCTGAACTTTTGCCATGCTCTGGTTGTTTGTGATGGGAAACTGCTTTGCTCCAGGAATGTCTTGGGAACATGTGTTAATGTAATTACAGGTGTCATTAGTGGCAAATAGGTTTGTGGATATCATGTGGGATTAATTTGAATCTTTAATTGATTGAAATAGAATTTGAGAATTTGGAATATCCGACAGGATAATTTAAGTAGACGGCACATTATCTCTAATGTATAGTTAGTAAATGAAATTCACTTAAATATATATTAAAAATAAATCTCAAAGAGAATGTGAAAATCGCATCTTGGTCAGATGACATGTATATTTTGGTGTGTAGCATTTTATTTTTAATCGGAATATTTCATTATACAGCACTGTATAGGTAATTTATATTTTGTTTAAATGGAAATTTATTATACAATTTATTTTGAATGTATTACAGTACTATTAATTGCCCTTTGGTTGTAATTACAACCAAATGGCAATTACTGTAATAATTGCCCTTTGGTTGTGTATATTAAGTTCAGAATACAGTACTGTAGTTTAATATCCAAATGGTTAAAATATACAAACAGACTGTTACATGCACCATAATTTCAATACTGTATTAAAATGTAAAGCAATGCATAAGTATGTGATAGTTTCAAGATTTCTTATTAAAAAGTGCTTCTTTTAGCCTCTTCATAATTAGATATATTACAATAATTACTGTTATTTGATACAAAATAGTGGACTGTTAACATCCATTAAATTTGTTCACAGGTCATTGGCTTTGATGGCTCAACAACCATTGATGAATTCCTCTCGTCACTAAATCAAGAAATTGGTTGTCGTGATGTTCATCAGTCTGGATTTGCTCTTTTCTCCGATGATCCGATTGAAAAGGATTTGGAGCATTGCTTGAATCGTAATGCAAAGGTTTGTAAATTATTGTATCTTTAAATTCTAGAATATAAAAAAAAATTGTCATCCAGTCAACTAACTTGTTTCATAATATTGGTTATCAATTCATATACCAATTTTTATGAAGTAAAGTACTGTACTGTTCTTTGTTTTCTGGAGGGGCTGAACAGTATCTCCCTGAAGTTAGCCGCATTGAGATAACTCCAAGCACAGGAGTCACATCAGCCCTAAGAGTCCTGAATAGCCTACCAAAGCCCATAGCCAGAACTTGGCTCCCCTCTGTCCCCGGAACAGAGGTGCAGGGAGCAGTGGATTTTTGCAATCACTCTCACAAAGGAAACTGACAATTGCAAGGCTCACAGAAGAGAAAATGAAATGAGAAGCAACTCTGCAAAAGATCCAGACTGTAGTCAGTTTGAAGCCTCCTAGTTACAGCGGTGACAGCACCACTGGAAGCTGCCAGCTTCCCATGTGAACACTCCTCAGTCTTCTGCATGATGTCCAACAATTTTGGCCACTCCTTGAGTCACCAAGTTTGCAAGTCCCAACTATTCTAGATAAGTGTTGGCCATTCTTTGAATTCTGTCCTGTGGAGGCCCATTTGGTTGTGTATCTTTTCAAGATTTAGTATTTGCTTCATGTGTGTGTTTATAAAACTCACTTTTGTGGACTTTGGTAACTGTTCATCTAGTCATGCCATAGATGCTGGCCTTCTGTGTAGAGTTCCTCAGTCAGGATAGTGCAAGGGTCATTGATGCCTATTGCGAGGCTCTGAAGTTGGGGTGTTCAGGGGGTTTTATTGATTAAGGGATGCACAAGGATTTGCATGCTTGTTCATACGGCACACCTCTGATGTCCTGTCATAAGGTCTGTATTTATTATTAGTTCTTATGGTGAGTACAGGAGTCCTGTTGCTATGGTATGGCCTGTGGGTCTTTGTCTCTCACTCGAGGTGGGGGCTTGAGAATGATTTCCCTGAACTTCTGGGATACATATTGGCATGTCCCTATACAAGAGGTTATCTTCTTGAGGTTATCTTGAGATGATTTCGGTGCTTTAGTGTCCCCGCGGCCCGGTCCTCGACCAGGCCTCCACCCCCAGGAAGCAGCCCGTGACAGCTGACTAACTCCCAGGTACCTATTTACTGCTAGGTAACAGGGGCATTCAGGGTGAAAGAAACCTTCAGAGGTTTCAAGAGGTTCAGGGATTCGCCAGCATTTGTGGGGTATCATCTTTATCGCTTTTGGGTGCTTCCCATTTGGTCTGAATCTGGATCCAAGTGTATTTACTTGATTGGTTCGGGTTGTTTTGACCTGTCTTTGTTGGGTGCTTGGGTCTTGGCCAACCACGATGACTGGCTGGTGTGGGCTCCACGGCAGTCGATGTGTCTGCTAGCTAGGGATCTAATTCTTTGTCAGCTCACCGGGTTCAGGTTCTTGGTGAACTGGTGTGTGTCCCAGTTGGTTCCAAGTCAGATTTGGACATGGTTAGGGTTCATTTGGGACTCTTGGTTGATATCGCTTTCCATGCCCCCAGCGACCTTGACCCGACTGCAGCACTGCCATATGTTGGAAAGTTGGAGGGGACCTGGAGCTCCTGTCCCCCCTCTTCTCCCCCCTTCTTGGGGGGTTGTTAGTGCCAGTGAGCTCATGCTACTGTCAAGATGTTCAATCATTTAAGTTATTTGGGGAGTTCAGTGGTATGTATTGGTTCACTGACTTTCTGGATGCTTTCCCAGTGAGGTGGCAGTGTGTCACCAACTCTGTGCCTCTGTGAAGGTGGGGTTTGGTGAAGGTTTGGTAGGCCAAACAGAACTCGCACATGATGACCTATTAGTCAAGAGCTATCTCAGTGAGACAGCTTCGGGGAGCTACCAGGGCTAGTCCAAAAAGAGGTGTTTCATTACATTCAATGCTGGTATTTTAATCTGTTATATGTACATATTAATTATTTTTTTTTTTTTTACAAACTATAGTACTTTAAAAGGTTTCAGGAATCACTGCCTCTATGGCTTGATCTCTGATCAGACCTTTTGGTGTACAGCCTGATCAACCAAATTGTTTGTATTTTCAACTCTGTCTCATGTAGGCACCACAACCTGGCTAATTAGGAACACTTTATTAGCACTATACAGTATGTGTTATTTTGAAGTTAAAGGTCTGTTATTCATTAGTTTTATATTTGCAGGGAGGATATTAAAAACAAATGGGCCATTTATGTTTATAAAGTTACCTCATAATAAATATCACACACAAAACCAAAAGTAGAGCCTGGCCCCAGGCTGGGCTCGGGAAGGAGAAGAACTCCTGAAACCCTCATCTCCCAATTGGTTATAAAACAGGTTAAAAAGAGAGGGGTTAGAAGCTATATTAAAGGATAATAAAAAGAACACACCTACTCAGATCAAACTTAATGAGCATGGTGGTGAATGTGTGTATTGTATAAGTATGTTCATACAGTACACTATTATATTACTGTATTAAATATACAGAACACTATTATTAATATACACAGTACTATATTATGCAGAATATAATATGCAGTATTAGATTTAAAAGAACAGTAGGATTTTAAAAGGTGATGTATTATAATAGTCAAATGGGTTTATGTTAATATTTTGTTTTAAACAATTATGCAAAAATATTTAAAACAAAATTAAAAGATCACTTTTGTCTTGTGAATAAAGAGGAGAAGATGCTGATGTCTTTGTATAATTCGTAATGTCCAAGTGACAAAATGGTACCTGAATAAGAAAATTCTAACTGACAATGACAGCAGAATAATACAAAAAATTGAAAAGATGAAGTAGTATCAAAATAAAAAAAAAGTGCCTAAGAGACAAAGCGATATCCATGTGTGAAAATAATAACCAAACTACACAGCAGGGACCAAAGAGCCAGAGCTCAACCCCCGCAAGCACAAATAGATGAGAACACATCAGAAAATGAAGAAACGACTATGTTTTGGTTCGTCTTAGACCATTATCAAGTCGTGTAAATGACTTGATAATGGTCGTGGATGAACTGAAACGTTGTCGTCTTCGTTTTCTGATGTGTGGTTTGATCATTATATATTCAGCCATGTTATTGTGACTCATTATCATCTGAATATATGATAAAATTATTAATGGTGTACATTGCAGGTAGCTAATAATATTGTTACATGAATGTTCTTAGCAACTACATTTAAATAAATTGTATTGTTTCAGCTCTGCGATGTTATATCAAAATGGGAAACGGCTCTAAGAGAAAAGGGTTCTGGGAAATTTGAAAATACAAAAGTCATACGCCTTCTTTACAAGTAAGTGCCTTTACAATACATCACTTATTTTTAAATATGCCTGTTTTAGTAGATATAGCAATTACTCAACATACAAATATAGTGTGCTCTGGCTAATTCAAATTAATCAGGATGGTTCCTGATTAATGGACTGTGTAGTAATTCAAACTGGACAAAAAAAAAGTTGAGCAACCTTTCTTCATTTCTTGGCAGTCCACTTGATTGCTTCCGGAGCCATACACCTAATGCCCCACCATGACACATACCAGGGTTTGTTACCCCTCCTCCCTCACTGTAACAAGTATCCTTGCAATCATTCTACCACATAAATTGAGAAGTGGTAGACAATGGAAAAGTCTTCACCAAGAGACTGCTGACTGTGACACAAACAGAAAAACAAACTCTGCATTCCCTATGCAAGCAAAAACTTTTAATTCATAGAAAATCAATTACAATATCACTTAAACTACTGAAATGCCACTAGCCTAAACTTCCACTACCCTTATCCTGTCTATCACTGACCTAAGCACTAGAAAGAATTTTTACAGAGCTTGAGGTGATGTCATGATGTGCAACTAGGAAAGTGTCTCGCTTTCTTGGAGAGGAATCCAAGATATTTTTCTATATAGTCATAATGGCTTGGTGCTTTCTCCTGATAGTTCCCTTCCATTCCATGGGAGTAACTTCTATGACAATGACACTCTTGTTTTCCTTAGGTTTTGTAATTCCCTTCAAGTGGTTGCTAGTTTTGATGTAATTATACGCTTTGGTGGGATTTTTCTTGGTGTGCTCAAGTAAATTTTAAAGACCTGGTGCAATTCCATGAAGCTTAACAACCCCAGTGTTATAGATACTGGGAGCTACTACTAAGTGGCCCACCAGTAAGGGGCACTTTATTACATTCAACACTAATATCTGGGAAGACCCCTTCAGTAGTTCCCAGTAAATAACTTGCCTTGGGAGTAAATAACTCCAATTGGGATGGACGGTAGAGCAACGATCTCCCTTCATGCAGGTCGGCGTTCAATCCCTGACTGTCCAAGTGGTTGGGCGCCATTCCTCACCCCCGTCCCATTCCAAATCCTTATCCTGACCCCTTCCAAGTGCTATGTAGTCTAATGGCTTGGCACTTTATCCTGATAGTTCCCTTCCCTTCAAAACTTTTTAATTCAAGTGTTCTTGAAAATTACAAAATATTGTGCTATAGCAGAGGAGCCTCAATAAACAAATTGAATCCGTTCCGTCACCGAGCTCATCATGTGAAACGCTCGTCTTGCAAAATGCATTTCCCCATTTAAAATAGTGGAAATAAGATTAATCCATTCCACCTCCAAAAAACATCAATATGATATTTGATTTGTTTTAATTTTTTTTTATAGAAAATGGAGCAACCTACCTGACACACTGAACAAACCTTTTTGACCTTTTTTGTTCTTTTTTCAATCTTTTTAATTTTTTTTTTATAGAAAATGGAGCAGCCTATGACATACACCGAACAAACCTTTTGACATTTTTTCTTTTTTCAATTTTTTAATGTAAAAAAAAAGAAAAGAAATTCAATCCTTTGCAACATTACAGCAGTCACCCCTTTACATCCCAGCATCATTAGCATCTTCTAAAAAATAATTCATTGATTTGCATCATCGTCCAAGGCATCTGAGAATTTGTGAGAACCAGCGGGAACGCTATGAAGCACCACACGGTTTTCTCGTTAATGGAGCGGAAGCTCGCCATTCAAGACAAATTTTCTGCAAGTGGCTCGCTCGTTACCTGAAATGCACGTAGATGGAGCCGCTCGTCACTCGAGGTTCATCTGTATCTTATATTGTGACATTAATATTGCAATGACTGTTGACCTACTAGTAGTAAATATCCTAAAATTACAAAATATTGCAGAAAATATTTAACCCACAAATTTTGTTAGGTGATGAGTTTTTAGATTATTTCAATTAAATTATTATAATTATTATTTTCATTCCTTTTCTGAAGTACTTACAGTGTTAGTATAATTACATCCATCTTCCCTCAGATCTCGTCTGTATTATAGAGCAGCTGCTAAACATGAAACTGATCGTGAGAAATTATTACTCTGCTATCAAGTCAACCAACAAATACAGCAAGGCAAATTCCCAATCACTCGTGAACTTGCACTTGAGTTGGCTACACTCATGGCCCAGGTGAGTCACAAGCATGTGCAGGGATAATGGAATACGTGGCCCAGGTGAGTCACAAGCATGTGCAGGGATAATGGAATACATGGCCCAGGTGAGTCACAAGCATGTGCAGGGATAATGGAATACATGGCCCAGGTGAGTCACAAGCATGTGCAGGGATAATGGAATACATGGCCCAGGTGAGTCACAAGCTTGTGCAGGGATAATGGAATACATGGCCCAGGTGAGTCACAAGCATGTGCAGGGATAATGGAATACATGGCCCAGGTGAGTCACAAGCTTGTGCAGGGATCTTCTTCAGGTTATCTTGAGATGATTTCGGGGCTTTAGTGTCCCCACGGCCCGGTCCTCGACCAGGCCTCCACCCCCAGGAAGCAGCCCGTGACAGCTGACTAACACCCAGGTACCTATTTACTGCTAGGTAATAGGGGCATAGGGTGAAAGAAACTCTGCCTATTGTTTCACGCCGGCGCCTGGGATCGAACCCAGGACTATAGGATCACAAGTCCAGCGTGCTGTCCGCTCGACCGACCGGCTCCCCATAGAATAGTGGAATACATGGCCCAGGTGAGTCACAAGCATGTGCAGGAATAGTGGAATACATGGCCCAGGTGAGTCACAAGCATGTGCAGGGATAGTGGAATACATGGCCCAGGTGAGTCACAAGCATGTGCAGGAATAGTGGAATACATGACCCAGGTGAGTCACAAGCATGTGCAGGGATAGTGGAATACATGGCCCAGGTGAGTCACAAGCATGTGCAGGAATAGTGGAATACATGGCTCAGGTGAGTCACAAGCATGTGCAGGGATAGTGGAATATATGACTCTGGTGAGTAACGGGCGATAGAAAATCGGCATTAAAGTTACTTTGTAGAAGACATTGAAAAATTAAACTTATATTGATAACATCTTTGATTGGGCAACATAACATGATGTTTAAAAGTAATAAAGTCCAGATACTGTGCTTAAGTATCTTAAGAAAAGCAGAAGTGCAATAGGTACACTGAGAGAGAACTCTATGAGCATCAACAGCTCAGGCCTTTTCAGCACTTCATGCAAGGGGCATAATCAGCTGACCTCTCATGGTGCTCAGAAAGAAAATGCAATAAGCACCTGCAAAGGATACTTGATCAGCTAAGCTGTCATTTATTTGTGAGGCTGCAAGCAGCTGCATCCAATAGTTTGGTTGACCAGATCACCAACCAGGAGGCCTGGTCAGAGACCAAGCTGCAGGAACATTGATCCATAGAACAACTGGTAAAAATTAAGAATATAAATGAAATACAGAGTACAAGACACAATCAAATCTCTTCATAAAAGGAAAACAACATGTCAAGGATATCACTTGTGCTTTCACACCATGAGTACAGCTCTGTATTCACTTCCCCTTTCAAAAAGCAGATTTATTTCTGAACTAGAAGGAATACAGTACAGGAAACACATACATACATAGATACATGTATGTATAATCTACATAGACATGATACAGCATGTAAATTATTGGGAGAGTCATAGCTCTCAAAGTATACTCTTTAGAAAATTGACGAGACGGGGTACCACCACATAATACTGGAAAGCAGGGCCTCAAATTTGAACAATAAAATAATATACTGGAGTGAATGATATGGTAGGAAATGCAGAATAGACACAATGAAGAGCAAAGATGCCATAGGTACAGTCAGAGAACACTGTATGAACATGAAAGGTCCATTACTATTCAATATCCTTTTAACAAGCATAGGAAATATTGCCAGAATAAAAGTGAACAATTTCAAGAAGCAATTGGAGAAGCACTTGCAAGAAGTACCAGACCAACTGGGTTGTAGTGTATATGTGGGTGCTTTAAGCAATAGCATTTTGGACCAAGTTATCACATGTCAAGCCTGGCCCCAGGCTGGGCTTGGGAAGTAGAACTCCCAGAACCCACTCCAGGTATAATCCACTCATGATCCAGATGAATATCATGCATGTCCAAGGTTAGTGAAATACATGGCTCATGTGATTGAGACTCTTGGCTCATGAGGTCAAGAAGTTGGGCAGATATAGTAAGTATGAGACTAGGGGTTGGGGAAAATTGTTTTAAGTTACAAGAGAATTAATAACACTTTAGGTGACACCTCATTAGTAGTAGTGAAAAAAACAACTTGAGCTCTAAGGCAACACGAACCCGCAACCGAGAGAATCCCAGTTGCTGGCGCTAACTACTGGACCACTTTGACTAGGTATAAGTTAGGTGGTCCAGTGGTTAGCGTCAGTGGCTGGGATTCTCTCTGTCGCAGGTTCATGTTGCCTTAGAGCTCCAGTTAATTTCCTCATTGATATATATCACATTAGTGTAATTTCTTAGTAGTAGTAGTAGTGGATGATTACTAGTGTGAAAATGTTGACTTGACTTGGTGATATTAAGTGTTGACAAAATGGTGAATGGATGGGTGTCATTTCAGTGACTTTATTCTTTTCAATACTATTTTCCTGTCTTCTCCAGGTTCCCACCATATGAAAATGAAAAAAATTAATGATTGATACACACATATTGCACTTGATGTTAATTGACTTCATGTTCTTTTGCAGATATCTTTAAAAGATGGAATGTGGAATGATCTTTGATATACACATAACTTTTTCCAGATTGACATGGGAGAGGTTAATAGTGAAAGATCAAGAGGGTCTGGATCATCTGGGCCCTCAACTGCTCACATCCAACAGGCTTTCACAAAGTTCTACCCTGCTAGGTATCGCGAAGATCTTAATGAAGAGGAAACTAAGTAAGGAGTTTCTCTTTTTGAATAATACTGTAGGCAGTACAATGAAGCAAGTAAACAAGTAATAAATATTAAAGTACTGTATACAGTATACTAATTGGAGGCTTATTCATTGTACTGTAGTTTAATATATGACTTGTAGACCCTCCCATCTATTAGTTACATTTGAATGTTGCGTGGTGAGCACCACAAACTAAACTAACCTAACCTTCCCAGACCTAATACATGCTATCTGTGGACTAATATGGTACATATGTGCACTATACTAGGCCTAGGAATATTTTAAGTTTTGGTTAAGCAACCCATCCTCTAAACCAGAGGACGGGTTGCACTATGACTAGCCACAGAGCTGCTATTATCATCACATTCCTGTCACTAAATCCTGAATATGAATCCATTTTCCACATGGACTTTTTTTTATGTATGGTCCTAGAGAGATTTGTGCATCTGCAAACTCTTCCAGCCCTTCTATCAATGATCAAGTCTCCAGCCTTTTGTTATGGGTCTAGTCTTTTAAGGCTTGGTTTGTTTTCCCCATGTCACCATACTGTATTTTACAATCATACACAATACAATCTTTATTAATACCCAAACTCTGACCTCTTGTTTTAAGGCTTGCCTTTTGCAGATGCAACCGTGCATGGTCAAATTCAGCCAGCTACATGTTTATCCCTGTACTAGAGATTTGCTTAAATACACAACTCGCCAGATTCTGTGCAACGCCCTGCCCCCATGATATGGGCCTGGGGCTCGTGGAGTTTGCACTGGTCCTTTGCCTTCTATTACCTACTCTGCCCTTGCCACTGGTGTATGTCGCCTTGGAATGACTCGTGTGCAATTGCTATGGTTCAGCATATTCACTCATTACACATTGTTTATGTAAGTTGTAATATAAAATGTATATATCACAAGTAAAGCCTGGCCTCGGGCCGGGCTTGTGGAGTAGAACTCCTCCCTGAACCCCATCAACCAGGTATCTTAGGGGGTCTAGAACCACAAGACTATGCTGGAGTTAAGTGTATGAAAGAGGAAGGAAGGTAACTATTGGGAGAAAGCACCTACCAGCTATTATGACCGACCTGCATGAAGCAAGACCATCTAAATAGCTATAGATGGTCCTATTTCATAGAATAGTAATAGTTAAAACTAAGAAGGATAGGTCTAAATAATTGCATTCCATTTACTTAGCATTCCTTGATGCTGTAAAATTTAAAAATACCATATTATAATAATAATGTTTATTCAGGTAAAAGTACATATATGTAAAATGAGTTACAGAAAGAATGCTGGATTTGTAGATAGAGCTAGTATATACTATGCCTAAAGCCACTAGTACGCACAGCGTTTTGGACAAAATATTAAGTAATATCTAGTGTTTATTATTTCAAGTATTGAGGCACATTTCCTTGACATCCCTCAACAATTAGCTAATATGGCATCTATTTTTCCTGAATATTCTTACCTGTTTGTATATTGAATTATTGGAGTACCAGATTGTCAATTTTTTTTAATGCTTTACTTGTAATTTACTGTAAAAATAATATCAAAAGTAAAGGATGAAGCATGTTTAGTAGGGCATCATAATATTCAGAATTTATAGTTTCATTATACTGTAATGTTTAGGCATACAGTACTTCCAAAAAATAGTTTATGATTGGGAGTTGGATTACAGGACATTGCAAGACAGCTTACAAGAAAAATGGGTAGGCTTACGAGGTAGAACGCAGAATGATTGCGTTCGCATATACCTGACGTGTACAAGAAAGTGGCCATACTTTGGAGCCACACTCTTTCCAGCTGCCACTCCATCACCAGACGGCCCACCAACGCCAGTATGGGTAGCGGTCAGCGAGGATGCCATCACGCTTCTCGATCATACTAGCATGGTATCCATTGGAAGGTGAGACTCTTTCAACTTATCTGCATTCTAAAATTTAAAGTAATTACTCTTCAATATGTATTCTTGTATACCTGAAAATAAAAGTTGCTGGTAAAGCTGCTGTCACACCAAAAATTTTAAGGGACATTTTGTGGATTTGCTTTACCAGTAATCATAATAACCACAACTAAAGTGAATATATTCCCGAGGAAAAATTTAAAAAAAAAAATATTAGTTTAGTCACATTCGTGATTATGAAAGTCATGTTAATATGCCCTTTTCTGGTGAGGACTTTAGTAACTCAGACCGTAAACACTGGCTGAGCTATACCTATACCCCTGCAATGCTTGCCTGTTTCATGTGGCAACTCCATGGTGTGCTCAAAATAATAAAAAAATATAAATTTCTTTCAAATATTGTTAAAATGCATTACCTTGATAACAGGAAACTAAAAAAAACTATGTAGAGAGAGAGTGTCGTGATGACATCACCAATTCACAATTATTATCTCGAGATGATTTCGGGGCTTAGCGTCCCCGTGGCCCGGTCCTCGACCAGGCCTCCTCTTTGTTACACACCCCAAGGAAGCAGCCCATAGCTGCTGTCTAACTCCCAGGTACCTATTTAATGCTAGGTGAACAGAAGCATCAGGGTGAGAGAAACTGCCCATTTGTTTCCGCCTCTAATGGAGATCGAACTCGGAACCGCAGGACTATGAATCCGAAGCGCTGTCCACTCAGCTGTCAGACCTCTAAGAAATTTTATGCCAACAGCATTTGGTGTTCCCAGGCAGTCACCCATCCAAGTACTAACCAAACCCAACGTTACTTAACTTCGCCGATCGGACGAGAAGCAGTGGTATTCTCAACGTGGTATGGCCATTGGTCATTGATCACGATCATGGTCATTAAATCCTGAATGTGAAAAATTTTTCAAATTCATTTTCCAAACGAACATGAAGTCCCATTGCATGATGTACAGAGGTGAAAAACTGTGGCCGTGTGCCATGGTTGTTTGTCTGACTTTGGGAACATTGTCAGCAGGATCACAACTTATGGTTGATGAGGTAGTACTGAGGCCCCCCCCCCTCACATCCAGAAGAGGGTGCCCAGGACTTTTTTCGAAGATAGCATCTGTTTACTGGAGTCCTGAGGAATGGTGTAAGCTCTGTGTACCCACAGGAGTTTAAATTATAAACTAGTCAAGAACTAAATCTCCTTTGTCATTGCAATTTGTTGCTGCTGATTTTGTTCAGTGAATATTATCAGGTTCCACTGCTGTATGGAACTATTTGCCTTCTTTGTTCCTTAATGATTGGGCTACACTTGAGGCTTAAATTACCTATCTGATTTTGCATGCAGCCCATGCTCTTGAGTTGGCAGATTGTACAAAATGCAGAGTGCTAACCTAATCAGAAACAGAGTTGCTACTCTCCTGTGCAAGTGCTGCTTCTTTTCCAGCAACCAACTCTTGTACTGTCCTGCAGATGTGATGATTCATGAACATGATTATACTGTTTTTATAATGTTGATAACGTCAATAAGAAGTGTCACGTGAAATTCCAAAAGGAACAGCTAATGAACTTTAGGGAAGCTAAACTCATTAAAGAAAAAAACAACATTTGGAGATGATGCATAGACTCTGCAGCCATCAAAATACAACATCATCAAACAAAATTGAGGAATATTCAGCATTTCCCCTGTTGCTAAGTTAATACTTAAAAAATATATTTGATAACAATCACAGTTTTCACTTTACCCCCACCTTGGCTTCCCTCTCCTCACTCATACCTCTTTTTTCCATTTATATCTGTTATAATTAATAAAGCCATTTCTGGTGACACGTTGCATTAACTATAGTCTGCTCTCATCTCTATACTGTTGTTAGCATTTTATGCTCTTGTCAACCAACATTCATCACTGGAGCTACGTGGGCCTGACTCTGACCAGGTCTCTTGGTCAACAAGGCTGTTAGATACTGCTGCTAGCAACCTGGCATATTAATCACAGCCTTAAACAATTTTTCTTTCATTATTCAAATAATTGAAACTACTGCACACCCACAAAATTATCCATCAAATGGTTTTAGCCTTGCTGTGCACATTGTTAAAATCTAAAGATGTTGGCTGTCTGTTTTTTCTAGAATGTTGGTAAAAATGTAACATTTCTCATTCAATTTTAAATGCAAAATGAATACAAATTCTGTTGATATATTTATCAAGCTTTTTGTTAATTAAAATTTTTAACTCGTATATTTTCTTCAGATATGGATATGAATCTGTTGTAACATTTGGTGGCTGCCAGGAAGATTTCATGTTAGTAGTTCACACACCAGAGGAAGACAGTGCACATCACCCTCCAGGAACCCACAAACTTCTCCTTTGTATGAATAAACCAAAGGTAAGTGTACAGAAATGCACATTATTTCTCAAATAAAACATTAGTCCAATTGGGTTAGCCGTCCTGTTTACATAGTTAATTGAAAGACTTTTTCCAGCAACTTAATTATAACAAACTAATAATAAAAATATGTTAAAGAATTAATTGTTAAAAATTTCACACAATATTAACCTTTTTCTATATTTGGGACATGTTTTTATAAAACCTCTCACAGGGAATTTATGCCAAACAAACTTACCTATACATGAGAGAAAATGCTTTACATTCCAGTGACCTCCAAAAGTCTATTTTCTGAAAGGGCCAAATAGTGGCTCTGTTACAGCAGAGAATGCTGTCTTTCCACCTGTTGATGCAGGCCTGCTCACTTCCCACCTTGATAAACCACCAGGCTATGGCTCCCATGTACTGTATGACTTTGAAGCCAGGAGTACCACACCTGTATTAATCAAAGTGGGGGCCCTTGTTCTTGGGTGCTCTCTACATTATCCTCGTCACTGCATTTTTTGGTATTTTTTAATTTGTTCTCATTTTTATCCCACTCTGGGCTCGTTCAGAGGGCTCTGGAGGACTTGGGCTCGTTCATTCCTGAGCGAGCTGCTGGTATTGTCAGTTGATGTTCCTTTCAGGGTTTGAAACCTACATAGCTACCCCTGGTTTTTGTTGGGAGGATATGTAGCTTCTGTGCCTGTTGCCCAACTTCTCTTCCCTTCTTTCTTCTGATTTTGGGCTCCCTGCCATTCTCGTCATCTCTGTGGGATGGAAGGGTTTGGCTTAACACTTTCGCGCTCCCGGCAGTCGAGCGTAAAACATTGCCCTTGTGCGTCCGGCGTTTCGGGTGATCGTGCAGCGACACTGAAAAGTGTATACTCTTTTCAGCATTGTGACCTTAATTTTTGATGTACATGTTTCAATTTGGTATCAATGTGTTTGCAATAGAATGTTTTAGAAGAACATGTGTATAAAATGTCAGCAAAGCATGCGTGAGACCGGCACCAAATAAAAAACTACGTCGATCGGTAGCCGTGTGCGCCAAACAGCGATGAAATGTTTCTACTCTTTTCAGGTTTGTCAACTCCACACTTGTCCTACATCGTTCATTTTGGTATCACCGTGATCACAATAAAATCTCCTACACGGAGATATGCATATACATTCCCAATTATGGTCATTCCTCACCCGCAGCAACGCCCAAAGTCACCCTAGTGAAACCCGTTAGAGTACACCCATAGCCACACCCGAAAAAACCATACTGAAATTTTCCGTTTACTAACAGACGTTTTTGTGCTACATCGTTCATTTTGGTATCAAATTGGTCACAATAAAATGCGCAGCAATGTATATAATGGATTGAAAACACACGGGAGCGGATATAAATGCCGAAAACTACAAAAGTGTTACGCGCGAGGGGAGAGTAGTGCGGTCACTCGTGGTGTCAACAGTGTAAGTCGACCACGTGAGCGCCTATGCCGAGGTGCCCGTGGGCCTATTGGGGAGAACGGGAATATAATGGAGCACATTTTAAAAGTAATCCGAAGTCGATCGGATAAAAATTGAATTTTATACAAATATTTTATTGTTGGACGCAAATGATGATACAAGATAGGACTCGAGATAAAAATTGTGCCGCATTATGTGTCAAGAGAAGGGAAAAGTGTTAATTAAGTGACTCGCAAGTGAGGCAGGAGGTTAACTGGAACTTTGGGAGACCCTCTTTTTCGCAGGGATGAGGAATACCTGGCCTAATCTGCAGATGAGTGGGTTAGGCCAAGAAAAGAGGAATTGTCTTTGATGAACAAACACTGACATGAACCACTACAAGGGAATTCATATACAATTATAGTGTAGACAAGAAAAATTAACTGTCACGCCCCAAGTACACTATCGGCCAAAGTACAGATCCAAACCACATAGAAGCCTGCTTTATTCAGGGTTACGAATCTCCTGCACGTTGCTCATTTTGATTGGTGGCTTTTTCTTGGGGTTTGTTCATATCTTATCTCCAAGCTTATAGGCCTTCTTAAAGAAAAAAAGGAAGAAAACGTTCTAAGGTTTGAGTGCGGCACTCTGGTGTTTTTTTTTTTTTTGCCAACAAACAAATGCTCCTACAGGCTTTAAACTTCTGTTTAACTTCCAGCTTTTGGTGATCACAAGTGTTTTATGCAGAGAAAGGGTTAAGCTTCTTGAAAGTTACTGAAAGTAGGTTAAATATAAAAAAAATTGAAATAAATGAGATTTATTGTACTGGTATTTAAAATAAAAAAAATGGCTAAGGTGAAGACTTCATAATGTAAATTACAGTATAATGATATAAAGAAAAAATTATTAGTAATAATCCCATTCTGTTTTCAGATCCTGGAACTAACCCTCCTTATTGCTGACTACATGAATGCCATGGGTCGTCCTCTGCCAGGCACTCCCCAGACAGGAACGCTGACTCGTCACGGGTCTAGAAGGTCGGCTCGATCCCACATAACCTCCATTCCTGGCCAACCCGACTTGTTGAAAATGACAACAGAAGTAGATAGCAAATTACAGCGCCTCGATGCCAAACGAAGAGCACAGGTCGACTCGACTGTTGTCTGACCCGCAGTGCACGCTAGGTCATCATGAGTCAGGTTTATGCTCGGCCCAACTGCCACACTGTGATAATGCTTCACATAAATACTAAAATTTTCAGCTGCTCATATGTCCATACTCCAAAGATTTTTTTTAGATATATATATATTTGAGATATACAAAAATAGTAAAGTGCAGGACTCCTCTGTGGAGATGAAGGAAACAGGTAAGTGGTTGTGTATGGTACACAAATGACCTTTTACATTGATAATGGATGTGTTATGTGGCCGAGCATAGTTTACAAATGATCTGAAAATAATAAGATACCATTCTGAAAAAATAATATTTGAATTTTAAATTCAAATTAAGTACAGAATTCAAAGTTAATTTGGTTAATTGACTATAGAATTTTGTTTACTACGGCACAATATTGATGTTTCATAATGAAATATAAAACATCTTTTCAGGTCGTATATTAAATAATGTGCCTTATGCTGCACTTTCAAATCTCTCAATTATATACAGCAATTTGTGATTTTATTTAAAGTATAGATTACTAAATGAAAATTACACAAAACTGATATATAAGTATTTTATTAGAATATAACTGCACATGCATATAAAAACAAATGCCACATGTAAAGATGCTTTAAAGCCCTAGTCTATGATAAATCTAGTCTAGAGAGTGTAGTAAGAAAATGCAGTTTCATGTAAACAAAAACTGAAAATAAAGAGATGCAGTGTACAGCTATCCAGTCTAGACTGAATTAAAATTAGAATATAATTTGCATACAAGAGAAACCTAAAGTTAACAAATGGAGTGCTTTAAATTAAACAATGGCAGAAGTCAAGTGTTGAATTTACAGAATTTTCTTTATTTTATTTGTTTATTTTTTATGGAAACTTTAGTAGCTCCCCAAATTTAAGCAATAGGTTCTATTTCCTCAAGAAGGCAACAGGAGCTGGAGATCAGAACCAAAGAAGAATGAGAACAACCAAAAGCAACATGACAAAAAGTATGTACCAGATGGTAAATAGACAATGAAGTCACCACGATGTAAACACTGAACCTGTTGCAGTAGTTTCTAAGCGTTATATGACAAAGAGTGGTGGGAAGACGGAACACCACGAGCGTAGCTGTCATCCTGTAACTACACTTGGGTAATTACCTGTCCACCACCAGTTGACACCCCAGGTTGGATCACTGCAGTAAGCAGTCACCCAACACAAGGCAAAGCAAACCAGAAAGCTCCCTTCTCCCTCTCCCCTCCCTCCAAAAAAAGGAATGAAAAAAGCAGAGGCAACCAAGCACAACAGAACCAAGCAGGGAGAGCAAAAGGGGCCTTGGAATCACTGCTCAGCATGAACCAACTGACTTCAATACCCTGTAGAATAGCAGGGAAAGGCCATTAACACAAGCAGTGGTAAGGGACAAGCATGGGGCTCAAGAATCATGAAATGGGAGCACAATGATGCGGTTAAAAGCCTGAACATGCCAGGTTCACAGCCCAATACCATAGTTCCTGCAAATTTCAAGAAACCCTGCCCAGAAGCACAAATGCACACAGAAGGCTAATGGAAAATAGTCTCTCTGGAAGTGCATCTCCAGAGGAGTGTGGTCCAGCCCATGCTAGGATGACAAAGAAGGCATGTTTGGTCAGGGCCAGGTTTCAAAGCTGGCAGATTGAAATACCACATCGTCAGGAATTATCAAGAGAAATCAGTCATTTCTGAAAGCCCCACCCCCACTTTGGTCGCCCACAGAGATACCCACCTGGGAATCTCCAAGCCTTGAGTACCACAGCAGGTTTTTAAGATTCATGAGCACCTAACAGAAGCCAGGACCTAAATCTGGCTCCCTCAATAGAGGCAAGAGGAGCCTAAGGGACCACCACAAAAATCTGAAGGAAAATTACCAGAGGGATAGTAACACACAAAAAGCAACTGCACCCAATGTTTTTGCAGCAAGCAATGCTAGTTGGCAACACTTGCCTGTTGGAGTGATGAACAATCATCAGTGCCTACAGCATTCATGATTGTTTTCATCCCTGTTGTTGTGAGATTGTCAAACTTCTATGCGAGATGACAGATATGTCACGTCACACATGCCTGCTTTGCTAGTGGCAGCTTACAAGTGCTTTACAGAACAGCATTCTATTTTTGTCATCTGCAACCTCGGTTGGGCTCAAATACCCGAAGTTCGGAGCCTTCACTGTTTTACGACGACGAATTTATGACTTGTCCAAATTTCTACAAGACCACTTTTACCTTGTTTTGCAAATCTATTGGCTCCTAGATGTACCTGATACCTACTTGATGGGGTTCTGGGAGTTCTACTCCCCAAGAAGACTCCCCTACGTGGATGAGGTTCTAGGAGTTCATCCTCTCTCCGTGCCTGGCCTTGGGCCAGGCTTGACTTGGGAAAATTTGGTTCAACAGGCTTGGAGCAGCTTGCACGACCCACATATCCACTACAGCTTAGTTGGTCTGGCACTTGCAGAAAAGTGTCCAGTTTTTCTTGAAGATTTCCACTTTTGTTCTGGCAATATTTTTTATACTTGCTGGGAGGATATTGAACAACAGTGGACCTCTGATGTTCATACAGTGTTCTTTAATTGTGTCTAGGTGGCACCTTTATTCTTCACTGGCTCTTATTCTGCATGTTGATGTCCCTGGATTTCAAGGATGCATGTTAACATGTCCTGATTCATCCAAGATTCAGAACTTGTTGAGGTTTCTTGATTCCCAGTTATGGGTTCTTTACTTTGGCCTAAACCTGGCAGCTATGACTTTCACCAGGTTGACGCAGGTCGCGGTGTCTCGTCTCTGTGTTACGGGGGATTTGCATGTTGGCCTACCTCGACAACTGATTGGTTTGGGCTCCCATCTGGTCTCCTTCTTTGCAAGTAAGGGATCTGGTTGTTTGCAGTTGGCAAAGAACCAATTCTAGTTAGTTGTGAACTCGCAGAAGTCCAAGTTGGTGCCATCACAGGTTTTGATGTGGCTGAGCTTGAATTGGAATTCTTGATCGGCTTGCTCTGCTCTGCCTCCACTGATTTTGGCTCAGCTGAATTTCTCATTTGCATCTCTAGCAACTATGATGCAGCCTGAACTTTATCTGTGTGGTGTATTTGTTGTCATGTTTGGTTGCGAGTGCTGTATTAGTTTTTCAAGGGAAAGATTTTCAACCATCACTGACATTGGTGGGTGCAGACACTGGCAGCTGTGTGGTGGCTGCTTTGTTACCACTTTCATTATGCTATTCAGTGTTTGATTCAGCTTTTCCCGCCTGTGCTTGACTAGTTTGCAGATGTCTCGAGTTTGGGCCCCTTCATTTAGCGTGCACAATGGTTCACAAGTTGATGGTGGTATGGTTTGCTCAGAATTTGATTCACCTACCTTGGGGCACCGTGACCCGACTCCACTCCAGTTGTTTTGACATGTCAAACTTGTATGCGAGATGACAGTTTCTCTCCTTGTGATTCTTAATTTAGGATCATTAAGCTAGGTTCGTTGTCTGAATTAGGTTTGCAAGGCAAGCTGGTCACTCCTGTTATGAAATTTAACTCTGCAGGTTGGTCGTCATCTTGATTTTTGGTTCACGTGCATGGGATGTCATGTGTTTTTGCAGTCTCGCAGCGATACCTCATTTTGACGAGTGGACAGTCGATGACAGGCTCTTCCATTGGATCAACGAGATCCTGTAGCTGGACCTCTTCATTGATAGCATTGCAGTGGAGGAAAGGGCCAGTGCACTATATGGAAGCAAGGTGACTCAGCTAGGAGAGAAGGAACCAAACTCCTCAGAGCAGGTGTACCTGGTAGGGTAGGAGAAAAGTGGAAACCAATATCCAAGGCAGAAGTCGAGTGCAAAATAATAAACCAGAGCACGTGCAATGAGGTGACAAAAAAGAGTCATGAAACAGAAGGAACAAAGGACTATAGTCCATAGGAATATGTTCCAGCAATAGCCAACATAAATTAGCTTAATGGTGAAAGAGGCAGTGGGCTGCTTGTATGTAACCAGGCAAATACAAATGTAGGCTGTAGAGGCTCCTGAGTGGACTGGGCTGTCACCAGTCACAACAAGCTCATTGTTTTCATCATGGTTATGTTTGTTGTCTGGTTATTGTAATTTTTGTCATGCAGTTGTTTGCCTCAGTAAACTTGTGTTTCTGGTTTGAGAGAGAGTGCAGTAATCTCCAGCCCCCCCTTCACCTCACCAAGGTACCCATATTATTATCCTGTCTGGTAGGCAAGAATTAGTCTTGGAGGCCTGATGAAATTCCCTAAGGTATGACTTAACCAGTATTGACCTTCAGGAAGCTATTGAAGGCTTCTCTTTCCAAAAAGACAAATTTCTAGAGTGAACTTGACTTGTGTTGCAAAGAAAAGCAGACTGTTTTTGGGTTAACATGTATCCATGAAAAAGGGTTGCAGGACTCTGGGTTAGAAAATGGCATCGATTCCTGGTAATCCTCCTGGATCAACCAGGAATCAGGAGCTCCAGCAATGTCAAAGAATTGATTTGGTTTATTGTATTCTTACAGAAAAAAAAAATTTACTTGAGACAATGGCATATTTATATTTTCAAAGTAAAATCAAACCTACATATACAGTATACATACATATTCATAAATTGTCAACTGCACTGCTGTGGATAGTAACATTTCATTCACTTGGACACTAGGAGTCTTGAACCACAGCTGTCTACGGTTCAGTTTATAGAGCTTGTGTCTTCCGCTCTTAGGGTCGGCAGTTCCAGACTCCTAGCACCCAAGTGAATGAAATACACACGTATAATGTACATATATATCTATACATACAAAATGTACATGTATATTGTGCATTTTAGGCAGAAGTACCCAACTAGGCCTAATTAGCATGGCTCACTGTGTCCATTTAGGCTATTTTCTCAGGGTAGCCTTTTGGTGGCTCCTGTAGCTATCTCATTGAGATTGCTCCATACTTTGAAGTCACATCAGTAGGGTGAGTTGTATTGGGTCTACTAGAAACCAGTGGCAGGACCTGGTCCCCTCTGAAAGGTGCAGAGAGTAAATGACAGTCATATCACCAGGAAAGCATCCAGGAAGTCAGGAAAGCTTTATAGATAATTGCTGGAATCACAAGAAGCGAAGTTCAAAACTAGCAAAAAAAACTCTCTAGATAATTCAAACGAAAGAAAATAATACTTATATTAATGTTAATATTGGAGTTGTTTGCCAGTTGTGAGGCTTTGGTTGTTTTGAAGCCAGCAGGATCTGCAAAGCTTCATTGACTTTGTGGGTGCTTTCCAGGTGAAATGTCATTTGTTGTCTGTTCCTCTCTGAGGGGACCAGGTTCTGGTCTCCATTAGGCCAAACAGTAGTCGTACAACTGATGTGTATGTAGTAATGTCAGTGGGATAACTACAGGAAGTCACCAGGCCTTTCTACCAGAAAGAGGAGTTACATTACATCCAACACTTGGTTTTGTTGTATCGTTGCAGGGATTTGTAGAACTATCACAATATTGCCATATGTGAATGATTGTTATTATTTAATATTGTTTAAATTTTACTTACATTAGGCAGTACAAAGACTTGGCTCAAAACATACAAAATGTATATCAATAATGTTGACTTAAATATATATTTATTAATGCATAAGAACAAATATTGAACAAAATTATTTTTAAGGGAATTCAGCAAATCTGCCAAAAAAATGCAAGATATACAGTATATGTATATATACCAGGATCCCTCTAATGCATGTACTTAAAGGATGTGTTGTTGAAAATGTTACAAGGTAATCAGGATATACTGAAAGCTGTCTTCTGAACTTTATAACAATAACAGAAGAGGCATTCTGCAGTAAAATGGTGTCGTCAAATTATATCGATAATATCAATGACCCAAGTAAAAATTTATTTTACTGTACAGTTTTTATGAGAGATGGCAGTGCATTGTGTTACAGCTTATAGTTGGGTGAATAATTAATATTGAGTTAATCTGAGATGCTGAAACTGGCTGTTCATTGGAGGATGAAAACAGGATCTCCTTTATGAGTGTTCCTTGGTGTTGTTGTAGGTGGGGGCTTTCAGAGCCCATTTCTTTGCTGGTAAAGCTTTGTAACTGCTCCCAGGACTTTGTTGCTCTATTTTATATGCACTGCTTCATTGCAAGATGGGATCATCTTGCTTCAGCATTTCCAAAGTACCTGTAGCATCATAGACGTTGATAGGCTTTTGTGTTTGTTCTTTATTAACCGTTAGGTTTTTGTTATTTCCAAATCATTTTCTTCCTCGTCCTGTTTGTCATCTAACAGAAACAATTCTGTCTTATATTGGCATCCTGAATGATATTTAGGATCTTTTGACTATTTTGTGATAGTGTTAAATAGTCTTGCAGGCTTGATGTCTGCTTACTTCTGTCACTGGTTGAAAGTCGTGAAATATTTACAGCATTCGAGCCAGTTTCTCCCCCCTTCCTCCCCTACACTATTTATATTGACTTGGGAACTCCATCTCATGAGGCAACGGTAGTCTGAAGAGTCTTCCCTACGTTATAATTATGACATAACTCCTTAACCGTTTTTTTTCACTATTTTGCTGTTGAGGTGGGTCATTGTCTGAAGTAATTAATAAGCAACACATTCATAGTTAATATTGCCAAAGCTTATAGGATGGTTAGATACATTGAGTAACAACAGTGCTTTTGTCAAAACAAATTTTGGCAGAATACTACTTTACACACTGGTAAAAATGAAAAGTAAGCTGGCCCAAGGATAAAGATATCACCCAAGCGTTCTTATGTGATTGCCATATGACTGGGATTTGCTTGGAATAGCCCTCTCCCCATCCGGCCCGTTGGTGTCGTGGATGGCTGCCAGAGTGTGATGCTCCGTGGCTCCTCTGTCCTTTTCTGGCCTTGTACTCATGCTGCTGTCTTCTCTAATTGTGCCGGATCGGTTTTCATTATATTTCGTTTTTCTCCCCCCTCTTCTCCTATCCGCTTGTCGTTTCCTGCCGACCTTTTGGTTGTTTTGGATTGGTTCTATTTTGATGCCCGGGTGCTTGAGGTGGCATACTCTTGCACCTGTAGAACTGTAGTACCCAACGTCTCGAGCGAGGGGAACCTTTTATTGTCAATCCCCCTTTTGTCGCCGAACCCGATCTCGACGGACCGACGGTTCTTAAGGTGTCGTATACTCACGACGTACCCCTAGGGGGCCCCAGCATGATCGGCGAGAGCTTCCTGTTGGGTGTCCTGCCTCTAATTGTGGCTCCATTCGTGGATGACTTTCTTTCTCTTCGTCTGTATGTCGTTGAATGTTTCCGTTGTACCCTCTCACGCTCGTGGGGTGGGCGAGCAAGCCCCCGAGTCGGCCCGTCTTGGAAGACCGGGCTCTGTAGCCTCCGCTGCATTGGGCCCCGACCTTGCGCCTCCTTTGGCCTCTCCGACTCCTTCCCCTGGCTCCCCTCCGGTTGGGTCGAGCCCCAAGCCCCCAGTGGTGACTACCTCGTCCCCTGGCGTGGCTCCATCTCTAGTTGTGACTACTGCGCCTTTTAACCCCTCTCTGTCTGGGGGTTCTCACTGCCGTCCTCGCTCGATTCCTTTGAGTTCTGCTACCTATCAAGCCTTGTTTGGTCCCGCTTTGTGGGCCAAATATTTTGATCTCCTCCCTCTTGACGATTTCTCCCTCCATCGACACGTCGTTGATTCCGTGGATGCCTCCATTACTTTCAACCCCACTCGTCTCGGTACACGTGTCGCGATGCTTCCCGCTTGGCTGCCTTATCCTGCTTTGGGGAGACCCCCGTTCGGGTCTCGAAGAACGCTCCGTTGAATGCCAGCGTTGGCACTATTCTGCTCCCGCCCCATGTTGCGACCGGTGTTCGGGACCTGCGCGACTGCCACGACGATATTCGCCATATCCTCGCTGCCCAGGGCCATTGTATTCTCTAGGTGGACACGTTTACTCGTCCCCCTCGTGGTAGTCGCCGTCAACCCCTCCTGGTTGTGAAGATTACCTTTGATGGTAGGACCCTTCCACCCTCTGTCATTGTTGCTGGTGCCAGGTGCTCTGTCCAGGAGTACATTCCTTCTCCTCGGCTCTGTAACAAGTGCTGGAGGTTTGGGCACGGTGCCCTCCGCTGCTCCGGGACCGTCTCTCTCTGCCCTTTGTGTGGTGGCGAAGGTCACTGTAAGTCGGAGTGCACTTCTCCCCAGGCTCGTTGCCTGAACTGCGGTGAAGCCCATCCTACCTTCTCCCGTGCGTGTGTCCATTACAAGGTTGAGGCAGCCGTCCTCAACTCGAAGCACCGGGAGCGTTTATCTTTTCCCGAGGCGAGACGCCCGGTTCGCCGGCTCCCGCCTTATGCTAATATCTGTTACGCTCGCGTGTTGCGCTCTTCCTCTCCTCGTCCTTCCCACCGTCCTCAGACTCACAACCGTTTCCGGGCCTTGGACCCCGATACGCCGACTGCCCCCTCCTCTGTTCCTTTGGGTTCTCTCGCGAAGGATCCACCTCCTGGTCCTGTGTCTGGGGTTCCCCTTGTTTCTACCCGGTCTGTCTTGTGTGTCTTCTTCCTCGTCTCCCTCCGTTCCTCGTTCTCATCCTTCCCCTCCGTTCCTTGTTCTCGTCCTTCCCCTCCGTCTCTCGACTCTCCCCGCCGCCTGTCGGTGCGGGCAGATGTCCATCGCTCTCCAAACGGCCGTCATGTGTGCTCTCGTTCAGCTTCTCCTGTTGAGACGCTAGAATTTGTTGCCCAGTACGTGGTTGCTGGGACACGTGTCTCTTTAAGTCAGAAGCGTAAGCCTGGCTCCTCTCCTTCCTCCTCCCTGGCGGGTAAGAAGGTTTTGCTTTCTTCCTCGGCTCCTACTTCTGGCTCTCTCGCTCCCATTTTGGTGGTTGCGCCCCGTTCCTGCTACGGAGGTTTCTTTAGCCCCCGCTTCCCTCTCGGTTGCTGCGGTGTGCTCCCCTCTTCCTGCTGCTGTCTTTGACTGCTCCCCTCCGTTGTCTCCTCCTCCGGACCCCGCCTGCCTCCTTCCCTCCATCTTTGCTCAGTTTACCCATGCCCCCTAACCCTGACTTTATTCAGGCTCAGCATTCTTTAATGTGCTCTGTTGCCTTTGTTTTTTCCTTGTTTTCTGTTTTTGTCCTTTCTCTTCTCGTCGATGTCTCTTCTTCAATGGAACGTTCGAGGTTATTACGCCAATTTCCTCAAACTCCAACTTCTGATTTATCGATTTTCACCCTTTGTGTCTGTCTCCAGGAGCCGATGCTTGTCCTGGTCGTTTTTGTGGCTATTCCTTTCTCTTTCCCCCCCGGTGCTGGGGCTTCTAATTCTTCTGCTCTCTTGATTCGTGCTGATGTTCCCTTTGTTGTTTTACTTTTTCCTTCGCCTCTGCATTGTTCTGCTGCTCGTATCTTTGTGGGGAAATGGTACACAGTTTGTTCCATTTATCTCCCCCCGAGTGTCCCGCTTTCTCTTCCTGATTTGAAACCTCTCCTAGACTCCCTGCCAGAGCCTGTGCTCCTGCTGGGTGACTTCAATTGTTGTCATTCTCTTTGGGTCGACGTTGGGACAAATACCCGGGGTCGCCTTCTTGAGCCGTTTCT